TAAGGGCTTCTCTTGCTTTATTGCCGTTTTTTGTGGTTGTAACTTCTTTTAATCTACTAATACTCCCCTTGGCTTCTACAGGCATCGCCACTTTCATGAGATTCCGTCATTGGAGCAGATTCAAACGTTCGAATTGGAGCAGTAGTCCGCCAAGGCCTTGCATACGCTAGAGTCCAGAATAAGCCACTCTAACCCTCTTCTTCTATATTCACTTGTAAACTATTTCTTGTGCAACTGCTCCTGATTAGATATTCTTGATAGGTGAAGGGCGTGAACGCAAAGGAGACTCGGAAGCGATACGGATGCTGAAACTGTACAGGTATGCGTTTTTTGTACAATGTCTGCAAACCTAAATTATATCATCATTGGAAGACAAGGTCTGTCGGTCGTGGCAGTGGTTATATCATACTTGGGTCTTATGGGTGCAGGCACGGAGAATGCTCAACTTGCAGGCAAGCTCTGCAAGCTCTCACGGCTTTACTATGAGGAAGCTGGTCCAATCTTCCGTGTAAGCTTCTCAACTCTCCACTTCATTCTGTNTGGTGGCTCGACCGGAAATTGGCCGCCATTCAAGATAGGGCTGTCAACGGRTGGGATCCGGGTCCGGTCTAGGTAGAAGCATCCCGAGTAGATCATTAATTGGGACAAAACCTTAGACCCAAAACCGTCCATTTTAACTTAAAATTTATGTAGAAACAAAAACATAGGTTTAAAACAGAACCATTTAAGCTAAAAAACACCACATTTCTTATTTAAATCGCAAACTAAAATTTAAACTCTAATCATATATCGTTAATAAAATTGATAGAAAAATACTAAATTACTTATATGTTAAAACGTCAGACACCATTATTTATCTATCTATCTATCAGACTCGACACTTTAAACCTATTATAAGAGAGAAACTGTAAGAAAACGAAGGAAATAATATATATGGTTAACAAAATAATCGGTTTTGGGCATGAATCGATTCGGGAGGGGCGAGTACCGGAGCCAACCCAATTATTTATTTCAACATAATCATGGAGTCGGATCCTTTATATATGGTTGGGTCGATTCGGGCCAGCCGGGTAGACCTGAACTGTTGACAGCCCCTTCAAAAACCTGAACGATGATAGCGATTGTTCTGCAGCAAGGTTGGTATCCCTTTTCCTTCTCCCTTCGGACCTGTACTTCGAGGTAAGGACCTTTCAAAACCGCATTCGATGTTCGTACCATTGTTATTGAGGCATAAGATTTTGTCCTGCGAAATTGGTTTTGGATTTTCACGAATTAATAAATTCTGCTAATGCAATTTCTGCCTTGTCAATGCAGCCAAATTCGAATGGGTTCGGATTGTCAACTGCCGTATCAGAATGACTTCCGTAGGGTAAGCCACCATTGGTTATATCTGTTGGAGCTTTTTATAAGGGCTTCTCTTGCTTTATTGCCGTTTTTTGTGGTTGTAAC